CTGGGCTCAAGCGAGTCTCCTGCCTCTGCCTCCCAAGTAGCTGGGACTACAGGCACCCGCCACAACGCCCGGCTATTTTTTAGTTGCAGCCGTCATTGTTGTTTGGCGGGCCTGGGCTGGGGATTCGAACCCACCACCTTAGGTGTACGTGGCTGGCGCCTTAGCCGGTTGAGCTATAGGCGCTGAGGCAACAATTTTTTTACTATAGGATTTTTCAAGGTCTTTAATGTATGAATGAACATTAAAAAATATTCAAAAGGAAGCCATCATCATATACAGCTTCCTAAAATTTCTTTAATTTTGGAACCCTTGTTTTCATGTAATGCAACTTGCCGAAAGAACTAGTGTTCCATATAATAAAACATAATAAATGTTGAGTTATAGTTTTTCTATCAGGATCCCTACTGAAGTGAGGTTTTATATGTTATTCAATTTAAGTTATAGATTTACTGTTACGAGCCTGAATATATTTCAGTCATACTGTAGATGATCCAAAGTACTTACCACGTAACAATATAAATAGATCGAACTACTAATGTGAAGACCAACACTCCATACATGACCTGAATAGGAAAGAAAAGTGAAATTAGTACAATCATTGTCTTTGGCAAAGGAAGTACATTTTACCTATCAAAATACTTCTCCGAATTGAACTGAAATCTTTATTCTTATTACTATTTTTTGAGACAGGATCTTAATCCGTTGCCTGGGCTACGGTGCAGTGTTGCAGTTATAGCATTTAACTCCTGGGCGCAAGTGATCCTACTGTCTTAAACTCCCAAGTAGCTGGGACTACAGACACATGCCACTATGCCCAGATAATTTTTAAACCTTTTGTGAAATGAGGTCTTGCTATGTTGGTCAGGCTCATCTTGAGGCCTACATCTGTAATCCCAGTACTTTGGAAGATTAGGGGGAGCCACAGCACCTGGCCACATTTATTATCTTTCAGTATATATACATGTATATGTATGTATATATACTTTTTTTTTTTTTTTTTAAAGGCAGAGTTTCTCACAGCAACCTCAAACTCCTGGGCTCAAATAATCTTCCTGCCTTTGCCTCCCAAGTAGATGAGACTATCAGTATCTGCCACCATACTCAGCTAATTTTTCTATTTTTAGTAGAGATGGAGACTCATCTTGCTCAGGGTTGGCTTAAACTTCTGAGGTGAAGTGATCCTTCCCCTCAGCCTACCACCAGAGTACTAGGATTATAGGCATAAGATGGACTTTCATTACATTTTAAAGAACAGAATTTTTAGAAAATGTGTTAATAAGGCTAGGTGTGGTTGCTCACGCCTGTAATCCTAGCACTTTGAGAGGCTGAGGCAGTTGGATATAGCCCAAGCTCAAAGGTTCGAGCAACAGGACATGGGTCAGCTCAGGGGATGTGGGGGGAGGGCGCTTTTATCTTTCTCCTTGTCGTTTGAGGTTTTGATCTCTGGGTAAAGAGGCCGTTTATCTTTGTAAACACAAAACATTTTTGCTTTCTCCAGTTTTCTGTTAATGGCGAAAGAATGGAAGCGAATAAAGTTTTACTGATTTTTGAGACACTAAAAAAAAAAAAAAAAAAGAGCCGGGTGCTGTGGGTGCCTATAGTCCCAGGTACTTGGGAGGCTAAGACAAGAGAATTGCTTAAGCCAAGAGTTAGAGGTTGCTGTGAGCTGTGATCCCATTACACTCTACCGAGGGCAACAAAGTGAGACTCTGTCAAAAAAAGAAAAATGTTAATTATGTAAGTATGTTATGCTAACCTCTAAGAAAAAATTAAGAACCTACTTGAAAATAACCAGTATTAGAAGTCCTATGTCAACTTTAATTCTAAATGGATCCGTGAATTTTAAATATGTGCTGAAACCTGAACAAAATACTTTAGCTCATACTTCCTAGCTCCCTCCTTTAGCTTTGCTTTCAGCAGATACAATAATTGTGCTTTTCTTTTTACAACAGTATGAACTTGAACTCTTTTAAACTTTTCTAAATGTCTTTGCATTTGTGTACATCTTCCCCTGCATTCTATGTCTCATCCCTAGTCTGCAAAGAAATTGATGCCTGCTTCTTGACCAAGGTTAATCTATTTTCCAATTCTTTTTTTTTAAATTGAAATATAGCATGCATATAGACACACAAACTCAACACAGAAAAGTTCTCAAAATATAAATACACAGTTTGATGATTATCATAAAACAAACATATTTGCAATTTTTCACTTTGTAGGTCAAAAAATGGAAATATGACTGCATACCACCTCAAAGGTCTTTTTTTTTTTTTTGAGACAGAGCCTCAAGCTGTCCCCCTGGCTAGAGTGCTATGGCCTCACCGCTCACAGAAACCTCCAACTCCTGAGTTCAAGCGTTTGGCGGGTCCGGGCTGGATTCGAACCTGCCACCCTAGGTGTATGTGGCTGGCACCCCAGCCGCTTGAGCCATAGGCGCTGAGCCCACCTCAAACGTCTTAAGCCCTATATGTACTTTATCTTACCTAAGCTTTACCACTTTTTTTTTTTTCTTTTCAGTTTTTGGCCAGGGCTGGATTTAAACCCACCACCTCTGGCATATGGGGCCAGCGCCCTACTCCTTTGAGCCACAGCACCACCTGCTTTACCACTATTTTACCTCTAACTTTAGAGCAGTGATTTTCAATCAGTGTGTTGCAGATTAAAGATCATTAATTAAATTATTATTATATTATCTCTCTTTTTTTTTTTGAGATAGAGTCTCACTCTGTTGCTTTGGGTAGAGGGCCTTGGTTTCATCATAGCTCACAGCAACCTCAAATTCTTGGGCATGAATAATCCTCTTGCCTTAGCCTCCTGAGTATCTAGGACTACAAGAGTGTGTTACTACACCCAGCTAGTCTTTCTATTTTTAGTAGAGATAGGGTCTCACTCTTGCTCAGGATGGTCTCCATCTCCTGAGCTAAAGTGATCCACCTGTCTCCACCTTCCAGAGTGCTAGGATTATAGGTGTGAACCACCACACCCAGCCAGTATATTCTTTTTTTCACATTTTTTTATTGACATAATTTAAGTGTGCTATGAGATAAAAAAAAGTTGAAAAACACTGCATTAGCATTTAATTTTGTCTTTTTTCCAGCTATATTATAAATGGAAACGTATATTTTTGTTAAATTTCTTTTACTCAAATATGCATATTTTAGGGTGGAGCAAGATGGCAGCCGAGTAGCAGGTTCTTTGCAACTGGGAGCAGTGAGATTGGGGAGAGAAGACTCCAGAGATCTCTGGCTTGTGGGCTCTGCCCAGAAACATCCCTTTGGGGATGTGCGGAGCCAGCGAGTGACTTCTGGACCCCAGGAAGAGGACAAAAACAGTGGAGAACTGGAAGTGGTTGCGAACAGGCTGCTGCAGCTGTAACCACAACAGCAGCAAAATTGCAGACAGGGAAAGCCTTCCCTGTGGGTGGTTTTGTTTGCACTTGGGCACTTGGTTGAATTACCTTGGGAGAACTTGGTGAGAGTGCAGGAGGACTTTAAGTGTTGTCCAGGGCATAGCACTGAGCTGCTGGGCCAGAACGGAGCTAATATTGTTTGGCTGTGGGCTGCAAGCATAGCCATTGTGGAAGAACTGCCCCTGAAGGCTCCACCCTCAGGGTCACAGATTGAGGCCCAGGCTGGGTGACCTTGAGCGAGTGATTTAGTGACTGTGAGCAATGCCAGAGACCTCCAGGAAAGAGTGGAACTTCCAGTGTTAGGCAGGGGGAGGGCTGGCTGTCCTATGTCCTTAGCCCTCAGGGGCATCATGTGTGGCTGGTTTTGGCACACCAGATAAGCAGGCAGCCACTTTAGGAAAGATCCCAGCAACAAGTGCTTTCTGGGAAAACTTCCTCTTAGCCAAGGTTAATGGTTTAAAGTGTCTTTTAAGTGCGCGGAGGAAGCGACTCAGGTTCTCAACCCTGCCAGGTTTGAGGACAAAGTAGTCAGCAGAGGCCTCCAATCTCCATCTCATACAGCTGTATCAGCATTGTGATTAGCATCTCATACCCCAGAAGATCACCTGTTGCCCAGACAATAGTCTGCAAGATATAGACACTGCTTTGTCTTTGGATTTTTTTTTTTCCTCTCTTTTTTGTTAACGTTCCCCCACCAGATTTTCTTTTTTTGTTGTTTTTCTTTTTTTTCCATCTTCATTTTTCTAGTGTAAATATCATTTTCCATTGTTGCCTTCATTTTTGCTAGTGTTTCTGCCCCTGTTATTTAATTTTTCCCCTAGTTCTATCCTGTAAGGTTTTCTGTTTGTTAGTTTTGGTTTAATTTATGTATTTTTGTCTTTTCTCTCTATTTAGTGGAGGTGGGATACCGTGTCTGCTCAGGCTGGCAAATAGCTGCTGACCTTAAGGGAACCACCCAATGCAGCACCCCCAGAGGTTGGGGATTTTTAAGTCTGGTTCCAAAAGGACTCATTGAAACCTTAGGCCAGAGGCATGGTGACCTAAAGAGCAAAAGGAAGTGAAAGGAAATTTAAGGGGAGGAAACACATAAAAGAAAATACTCATGAGGGAGAATCAGCAAAAAATCCTGGCAACATGAAAAAACAGTCCAGAGCAATCCCCCCAGGGGACCATAAGGTAGCTACTGCAGAGGATTCCACCTATAAAGAAATGTTAGAAATAACAGAAGGGGAATTTAAAATACCAAAGATGAAAACAATGAAGGAAATTGCTGAAAAAGTGGAAAATAACCAAAAGGAAATCCAAAAACAGAATCAAATAAGAGATGAACGATATGAAGAATATAGAAAGGATATGGCAGAGCTGAAGGAATTGAAGCAGTCAATTAGGGAACTTAAAGATGCAATAGAAAGTATCAACAACACACTAGACTGTGCAGAAGAAAGAATCTCAGAGGTAGAGGACAAAGCTCTTGAGATAACTCAAAGAGGCAGGAAAAAAGAGAGAGAAAGCAGAATGTTCACTGACAGAGTTATGGGACTTTATGAAGTGTTCAAACATATGAGTTATAGGTATCTCAGAAGGAGGAGAAGAATGTCCCAGAGGAATGGAATCCATACTAGAGAATATTATAAATGAAAATTTCCCAAATATCACCAAAGATTCTAACACACTCCTTTCAGAGGGATATCAGACCCCAGGTTACCTCAACTCAAATAGAGCTTCTCTAAGACACATTGTGATGAGCCTATCCAAAGTCAAGACAAACGAAAAGATTCTGCAAACTGGCAGGAGTAAGCACCAATTGACCTACAGGGGCAAATCCATCAGGGTGACTATAGACTTCTCTAATGAAACTTTTCAAGCCAGCAGACAATGGTCATCTACCTTTAATCTTCTTAAATAAAATGATTTTGAGCCCATAATTCTATATCCTACTAAGCTAAGCTTTAAAATTGATGGAGAAATCAAATCTTTTTTTTTTTTTTTGAGACAGAGCCTTAAGCCATCCCCCTGGGTAGAGTGCCATGGCTTCACTGCTCACAGCAACCTCCAACTCCTGGGCTCAAGCGAGTCTCCTGTCTCTGC